ACTCTTTCTTCCTGTGGTTTTTCAGCAGTGTCATGACCATGATTGTTTCTCTGGCCATAAGGGAACCAACCACTGACTGCTGCTTCACTCATGCACTGCTCATGCACCCCTTTACACTGCTGCTCCTCCTCTCCCCCTCTCTTTCAATCCAGCTCAGCTCACACAGTCCTCTGTGATAGCCTGCCATATGTATATTTCAATATATATATAAAAAGATTAACTTTAAAATGAGTGCTTAAAACAGAATTTTAATCTCTAGAAATGAGAATCAGATAAAATCATAGGCTGGGAAAGGCCAAGCACTGCCCAAATCTTCCTCAAACTTCAGGTTCAGGCCCCATAGCTGAGATCATCATATCGTGATTTTAAGCTGTTATTTGGAAACTTTTGAAAATTTCGTCCCAAATTACCAAGACAAGAAACTAGATGCATTAGTACTCACTCTAGCACTTTTCTATTTTTCATTATAGCCAGTAGAAAAGCCAAGTTAAAAAGCAAAATTATTCTAGATAAACTTTCTCATTGTCAAATGTTTTCCCTCCCACACAGAAGAGTGGAACCCAGATGCCCTCAGTTCTTAGAATGAGTAGAAAAAGAAGAAAAAGCTGCAAGGGCAGAAAGAGCTCTGATTCCAGAGAATGTAAGTTTACAGAGATGTTTAATTTGAAGTTAACACATCAGAACATAGATGGTCATTCCCCACTCACTCATCAAGACAGAAATTCATCTTTGTGCCCAAAGCTGTTTGTCAAATTGCAATTATTTATGCTCAAGTATGGGTATATACAGGTACAGTCTTGATGAGGCTAGTTCATTTATTTCAGTTGAGCTGATATCCTAGCTATTTCTGGCAAAGTGTTTGCAAAGATGTTCACATTTAATTGCCTTAAATTTAAAGCATTCTCAATGTAAATTTCTCAATGTTGACTAAGTTTGACAGCTTGTCCTAATTCTACTTAGGCACATGTCACTATAAACTGTTATCCTCTAATGCACATGATCTATTCTAAAAAAAAAAAAAGAGAAAAACAACCAAAACCTAAGCAAGGCAGAATTCTGTGTGATTGTATGAGCACCACGAAATCTTGCCTTGCACAGCTCCTGCCAGGACACAGTATTTTCTTCTGCTTCAGACAGGACGCTGTAACTCACACCTACTGGCAATGTGCCACTGATCCACTGAGTAGCTATGACAATATTCATAAATCCCTTTGTTTGCTCACCTGTAAAAGGATTATGAAAGTCAAATTCCACGTAATTTACTCAAAATTGCAAATATGCAATCAGATATTGATTGTCCCAGTTTGTTTGCAGGAACAAAGTAAATACCAAGAGAAGTAATAGAAGTAAAATGGGTAGATGTTTCTATATGCATATAGAAACCTTATCTCCTAACAACTGTAAAAAAAAAAAAGTGTTAACATGTTCATTTCCTCCAATCAGAGTGAGTTAACATGTCCTATGCTGTTTATCTGTACTCACATTACTTACCTGACAATAAAGACAAAAATAGTTGATATTAAAATGATAAAATAATGTTGTGGAAAATACAATAAATATTAAAAATAAAACAGGCATTTTCTATGAGAAGTGTCTCAAAGCTAATCATACATTTATGACACTGCTTGCCAAGCCATGAGAAAAATGTTTTTTCTTTTTTTTTTTTTTTTCCACCTTAAATCAGATGAACAGTTGTCACCCATTTGTAAATGTCAGCAAAATTTAGGAAGCCTTGAAAATAAAGCAGATGAGGCTCTGGCTCACTTCACTGAGTCACTGGATGTAAAGAGTACTGAAGAAGATGGAAAAGATCATGAAAGCAAGAATCAGAGTAGCTCAGATGCATCTGAAGATAGAGACCTTGATAACATATCAGACAGTGAAAAAGAAGGAAAGAAGGAGAAGAACCACCCCACTCACATGTTCGCTCCTCAGCGAGATGAAACCCTTGCTACAGTAACTTTTGGTGAATCAGAGGGCTCATCCACAGAAAAAATTACACTGTGGAGCAAGCAAGACTCTGTAGAGTTCATTAGCTTGTCTACTGGAAAAATTACTGCAGAGGTAAAATATGGTTCTTTTAATGTAAAAGTAGAAATTACAGATGTTTCTTTGTTTGATTCTGGAACAAACCTTGTAGCTGAGAAAAGAAGAAGTTCTAAGAACAATAAACGTTGCCATGAAAAACAATACCAGAAAAGCCAGTGTTCTAGGTGTTCAAAGAACCAGTGTCCTTCAACCAGCCATAAAGCAGAACACAATGTGAAATATAGGGGATCCTCTAAACGTAAAATTCAAACAGCCATCAACAAAAATGTCTCCCTGAAAATGAACATTGAAGCAAAGGAAATTAAAGTGGAATATACCAGCAGAAAGGAGAATTTAAAGGTTAACATCAAACCTAGTGAACAGGCACAGAACAAAACCTGCAACAGGGAACGTGAAGACACATATTGGAGTGAAACTGATTATTCTGTAACAGAGACACCTTACAACACAGATTGTAAGTCATCTTTTAGCTTTCACGAAAAAGTCGACTATACATTCCCAGATGGATGTACACTTCTCCCTCCACCTAAAGAATTTGCTGACTGTGACAAAATGCATTTGGATACAATTGCAGAGGGGGTATCTTTGTACCCTGTTGATGACAGAAAGGAATCCGACAACCTTTCTACAGCCTTCAGAATTTGGAGGGGAGAAAATTATTTCTGTAACAATAACAAAAAGGACTCTGAAGGCCTCACCAATGAAAAGGAAGATTTTTCAAAGGATAAAATACTTTTCTCAAAAATAAATAATACAAATTGTCTTGTAGCTAGTTATACCTTGAATAACTCAAATGTTGGGAAGGAGTTTGTCAGTAAGAACAATGCACCAGGTCTAAAAAGATACAACTGTGACAAATGCAGAGACATGGGGCAAAAACCAGCACGAAGAAAGTCTTTCCCAGATACTACCCTTGATCTCCCATCACCAGTTCCCCCTAGAAGGGATTCTGGCTTTTATTCATTGCCATCCTTAAAAGTGTTACCTAAGGAGATCAAAGCAGGAGATGTCTCTGATAGGAACTCGCATGTTCATAGAAGCTACACGGAACTTTTTAAGTGTCCTGACTTGACCTCCTCACTGAGAAGTTTGAGAGGTCTTAAGTCTTCCTATCAGTATGCTTTCACATCATTTGATCACAATATTACCATTTACTCATCTGAGCCCGAAGAAAGTCTGGATGACACTTGTTTACTGAATGAATATGCAGACTATGTGCGGCAAGGTGAAGAAACAGAAGAAACTTTAATGGAGAGTCTTCATTCCAGTGGTACGATAAATGAGAAAAAGGAAAATGGACTTGAAGAGTGTTTAGAAAACCAAGCCATATGGGAGGAAGACTCTGAGTCTACCGAGGATGGTTTTGATGAAGCATCATCAGAGTACAACCATCTAGAAAAGCACATTGAATTGCAGAACAAAGCTCAGCTAGCACAGGTCTCTCCCTGTTCTAGAAGCCCTTCAGTTGAACTTGCTAATGACAAGGAAAGTACTAATTACAGATTTTCAAAAAGTGCCCAAAATCAGCTTTTAGCTTTACAGCAGAATGTTCACCCACCCTCTACAGAGCCTGAAGTGACAAAAAGGAGAGGCTCAGTAATGACTGTGATAACTGGAGAACTAGAAAGAAGACTCATCCAGGGTGACACTAAATCGATAACTAATTCTCTTGGGTCTGCAGTAAGAAAAGAGACTAAACTTCCCTGTAGTATACAAGAAAAATCCTTGCTGTCATCTTTGCTGTTAGATTGCAAGGAGCATGACATAAATAATGAATTAGAAAGCTTTTCTGAGATTCAGGCTGCATCTGAGGATAACCTGGTTGAATCTGACAGCCATAATGATTCAGCACAGGCTGCCATATTAGCTACCTCTTCCTCATATACAGAAAAGAGGGAGAACTTTATAGAACATTCAAATGTCTTGGGAAAACTGGAGAACTTTTGCAGTAACCAGTCAACTGATGATAGCTTAAAGAGAGATCCTGGAGCACTTCAGCCACCTCAGTTAGCTAAATCCAACTCTGACGAAGCTGAGAAGAAGATTGAAATGAAAGAAGATTTTCATCAGAATGCAGATATCCCCCCAACTTCAGTAAAAGAGATTAGTCAGAAAGGTAGGTGTTACAAGAGTTTTGGAGTTAGTATCACTTACATACCTTTTGCATAGGTTGTTTAGTGTTTTGCTAACATTCTTTTTGGGAAATTAAAAGTATATTAAAATTCTACAAATAGATTATATTGGTATATGCTTCATCATTTGGTTATGATATACAGTTGTTATGTTGAGAATCCTAGGGGCCATCTTGTAGAGCCAAGTAAATTTTTTAAAAAATATGAATAAAAAATTAATGCAGCTTTGCTCATGAAATTAGTTTTCTACATTCAACAGTCAACCCATCCTACACATCTAGCCAGAGATGCAAGTATCAAACCAGGAAGGGTTTGGGAGTTTTTTGCTGTCGCCATGTGGCATGAACTCAGAGATCTAGTCAATGTTTAAAACCACATAAATCTGTTTTTGAAATCCATTTGATCTAAGCAAATACTGAATTCTAAATACATCTCAGTCCTAATTCTAGCTGCGATTTTACATGTCGTGGAACTACTATGGTGGATCATTTAACTTTCTCTTTTCCTCTATCTAGTTAGGAATACTGCATATGAAAAAGGATTATCTATAATAACAAGACTTTTACAAACTTTCTTATCTTCCCTTCTGTAATCCATCCACCTGTATCCATAACTTGTCATTTTAAAGAACTGTTTTAATCATAAAAATGTAAAACTATAGTGGGGTACTGCACACTATAATGTAAGATTTTTACATCAAGAATACGTACACACACATATGTGTATGTAGATTTTTGAGAACAGAAGCCAATTTTTAATTATAATTTTAATTTTAATTTTTTAATATTAACCAAATTACTTGTGAATGTAATTCAGATGGTCCTCTCCCGAACGTTTCCAGCAGGTTTGGAGGTTAGGAGATTTATAATGTTGAAAAATACATGCTTATCATGGGAAAATGTCTTCAAGAACTCTAGTAAAAAGCATCAGAAAGTTTTCAATGATCTTTCTATTTCGCAGTATCTGCAGAAATTACTGGTATGTCCTCCAAGGTTGTCTTGTTTGGCACTGATAATGAAAACTTCAAAAATATCTCAAGTCCATGTAGACTATATAAATATACTATACAGTTAGATTTACTGTGTAATTCAATATCTAGAATAGTACGATAAGTAGAGAGTTAATTAAATAGAAATCGTCTTAGAAAAAGTTAGAGAGAGAAGACACTAAAAGAAGCCTTCATGGTCAAAAAAAAATGATTTCTCATACATTAGACCTTAGTGGTTACACACACGTCACCAAAGTGAGGTGTATCTACTTCTTGCATTGTGTTTTTATTTTTTTCTCTTCCCTTTTACCCTTTGCTAAGAATTATCTATGTGTGTTCTTTCTCTTACCTATCACCTCACCTAGTCTGTTACTTTGTCCCTGTTTTGGTCTACGGTCATGTTTTGATCTTCCATCTATGTTCTTAGCAATGCTGCAGAGGTCTTACCTTAAATATGTAAAAGTGTACATCCAGAAATCGGTATAAGCATTCAAAGTTTTAAAATGCATTAATATGAATCAAGGTCCACTTGTAATGTGGGAATACCATGCCCACAGTGGGCACAAGGGTAAATGTGAGACTTCCCACGCACAGTAACTCAGTGACACTGGAAAGGAAATGTGGGATTTTTCAAGGAAGAGTGAAAGCAACTAGAACAGACGAGAAAAACAGATTCGTTTGCTGTGAACTGGGTGGAGGAGAGAAGTCCAGGCAATTTAGAAATCTGCTGTTGTTGTGGGAACTTAATTATTGTCAGAGGAGCAAGGACTCGTTCAAAGGTCACTACAAGAGAGCTATAAAAAGTTGATTTCCTCACTCTCAGCAATAGTCAGCCGCCTGGAAAAGGGGTTTAGTAACACAGGTCTGTGATGGAGATCTGACTGAAGCCAGAAAGAGACTACTGAGCCAGGAGAGCACTTACACAATTCTCTAGGGAGTCTGTTCATGCTGGGCTCACTGACTGCCCTTGCCAGTGAGTTACAGCTGCATTTTCAGAATTGTAGAAACATAGAATGGTTTGAATTGGAAGGGACCTTAAAGATCATCTGTTTTCAATTCTACTGCAAAGGGCAAGGACACCATCACCAGAGCAGGTTACTCAAAGCCTCATCCAGGCTGGTTTTGAACATTCTAGGGATGATGCATCCACAACTACTCTCGGCAATCTGTTCCAGTGCCTCTCCACCCTCACAGTATATCACTCAAGCATGTCCATGCCCTTCTTACGCTGGGGGCTCCAGACTTGCGTGTAATACTCCAGGTGAGGTCTCCTCAGAGCAGAGTAGAGGGTGAGAATCACCTCTCTCAGTCTGGTGGTCACACTTCTTTTGATGCAGCCCAGGATGCAATTGGCCTTCTGGGCTATGAGTGCACATCACTAGCTTATGTCCAGCTTTTAGTCCACCAGTACCCTCAAGTCCTTTCCCTCAGGGCTGCTCATCTGTTCATCGTCATGGCCCTTCTCTGATACAAATGTGTTTTCTAACAATCCAACATGAATCTGAATTTAACACAAAGTCTGTTTTCCAATTGTTGTTTTAGCTGAAATGGTAATACAATAAATAAATTTATACTGCCCTACCTAGAAAAAAAGATAACATAGAAAAATATACTCTTTTTTTATCTTCATATGTGTCTTGCAAGATTTTTAATATTTATACAGCACTTTATATATACATACTGATGAGCAGCTATAAATAAAATCCATGAGTTATTTACACAGTTCTTCATAAAAGTAGCACTATACAAATATCTATGTAGTTATTTAAATACAGATATAAATACCAGAAGGTAATCACATGTACTTTTCTCTATGTGAAGACCTCAATTAGTCTAAAATATGCATTTAATGAGTATTTTCTGTACTATTTTGTCTTAGATCTAGAATTTGGAAACAAATATAATTACTTAAGTTATCTTATGCATTTCTCACAAAAAAAAAATGTCTGGTTATAATTCAGATTTGAAGTCAGAAATGAATAAAACCAGAAAGATACCTTTGATGAAAGACACCAGAGCAAGCGATAGTTCCCAGGAAGAAGCAATAGACCAGTGGGCCAGGAGAAGGAAGCAGTTCAAAGACAGCAAAAAATGCAGTTCAACGGGCGGAAGCTCCATAAACAGCACAATCACTGAGGGATCAAGTGAGTACTTTAGTTTTACAATTGTATTCTTTATCCTTCGTATGTTTGACACTGACAGGGTTTTCATCTATGAAAAACAATCTAAGCTGTTTTTATCATGAGCAAGCACATTTTATTAAATTGAACTATACCTCACCATTGGAGTTAAACTCCTCTCTCCTTCATATAGCCTAGTGAATAACCTGATTGAAAACATATCATCCTTGTCCATGTGCAGTTAATGTCAAGACAAGTTCTGGGCACAGACAACAAGTAATCATGGCAGCAACTTCAAGAGTGTAACAAAAATCATTACACTGACGCCTGCTTTGCTTGTGTTAATGCCATGGTGAGCTGGGCATCCTTCTCGCTAAGGTAACCACCTAGTCCATCATTTACCTTCAGGCTTGTTGTCTAGGTTGTCCTTCACCGTCCCTCCAGTGTCGTAACTATCTCATTATGAAATCTGTCAGCTCACCATAAGCTTGTGCCTGTGCTAAACTCATCAGTTTAAATCATATGGGAGGGAATTCATTTGCTTAATGAATTTACACATCAGAAGCCAAGCAAAGATTACACAATCTAGAAGAGAACAAATGTGGCATTTCTTACTTCACACTGCCTTTACCTCCTGTTTTGCTATTTTAGTAATCCAAGTACTTCATACAGATGGAAAAATGTGCACTCCCCTGGGGAGATATTTCACACTATTATGATTACTTTTGGTGAGGGGAGTTTCATTTGTAGATGTATAACATCATTTTTTCAGAAGGTTAAATACAAACCAATAGAAGACTGAGAGGTCTGAGTGTTCAGTGTAGATCTGATACAAGATAAACTAAATATGTTGTACCCCTGTCCTGAAGAGGTAAGTCCTACATCAGCAGGGCCTCAACTCATGTCTTGATCATAGATGTCTGCTGTTGCTGGGACTCCAATAGAGATACGTAACCTACTGGGGACCCATGCCTTTTTGAATCAGTAACTAGATGGTAAGTAAGGTACCTTAGGGCATCTAATATGGTGCTAGCCACCTATGTTCAGATAACTGAATCAGTCCCTAGATTTTTAATGCCTATTAATAAAGCAGCAGGGATGACTGTCATTTCACTGTTTATTAGTAGCATTTTCCATTCTTGACAGAATCAACTCTGCCGCAAGGACATTAGAAATCTAGTATGGCAAAGAACCAGAGCACAAAAAAAATGCTATCAGGAGATACATACACAAAGAAAAATTCTTTCCTATTTCAACAGTACTGGGTTTTGAATATGAAGCTGGACCATAAATTTTACTAGATCATGTACATGCTGCTTTCACAGAGAACAATCAAACTAACAAACAGACAAACAACCAACCACCAAGCAAATAAAAAGAAAACCACATACAACAAGCTGCAAGAGCTAAAATTTCTTTCCTTGAGACAAAGCTTTTGGTAGCTTTGTTAGTTGACAATTCAGTCATTTTGGATAGTATACAATAGGTCTGAGACTTCTGTCCCTTTTGCTTTGGTAGCTAGGCTGTTCCCTGGTGTTTGCAAACTTGAGAGAACTCTAATCAATATTTGGAAGCAGCTGCTCCTTACATGCTTACTTATAGCAGCTGAGAAGAGCCAAAGTGCAACTTGTTGCTGACTCTCATAAACTGCTCAGTTTGATATCTGTGCCAAAAGCTTGAAGAGGAAAGAAATGAAAAGACATTCAAGAAAGGACTTGCCATAACTCCATAATGCCAGCGTGGCAGCATTTATTTCTCTGTTTTTGCCTATCTGACACATTTTGTGCTCTACTACAGTTACAATGATTCAGTATTACAGTGGCAAAATACTGTACCTGTACTGAATTGCTTGGTGCCAGTCTAGGTTTTCATAGTTTATAAATCCATAATAACAAGCTAAGAAGTGCTTTAAATATATCAGCCTACCTGTATTTAATTATTGGTGGGTTTTTTTGTTTATTTGGGAGTTTTATTTTACAAATAATTGTAGCTTTTTATACAGTTAATCGTGTCATCTCATACTTTCTGTATAATAAGGCAGAAGCCTGTGAATGTGACTTATTTGTCTACATAGACACATTAATACAGAGAGTTTAAGAATTGATTAAAGACAGACTTCTCTTAAAGAGGTGCCATTTCCGATTTGATGATTTGCAGTAAGACTTCTCTTGTCATTTAAATTCAACAAGAAACAGCATTCAATGTTGTGATCTTATATTCAGACATCTTTGTAGACTGCCTCTTAAACAGCAGTAAAATTCCAGAACTAAGTACGGACACTACAAACAGGACATTAAGAAGCTTGTGGCGCTTCTTCCACACTGACTGGCTGAGGTCTGTTATTTTTTGTGACCTTTTCCTCCTGACATTCTTCCCTACTGACATTCATTTTACTTGTTTTATCCTCATGCCAGTAAATTCAGAAGATGCTCGGTCAGTAGATCTTGGACTACATTCTGAAAATGAAGACAGAGGTTTTTACACAGAAAACTTTCATTCTGCTTCCTGGGTTTTCCGAGGAGACGATGTCTCTCCAGATAATAGTCCTAGATGTCTCAGCAAACGACCTAGACCAGTCGCAAGTAAGTTGGCTAAAGCAACCCGTAATAAATGTCATGAAACTATTTATTTGAGGCATTCCAAGCATTCCAGGAAGAATTTTGGAGAAGATGCTGGATGCTTATGCTGAAGATAGGAAAAAGATCAACCCAAGCAGGTGAAAGGTTTCAAAACCTGTAAGTAGTATTGTTTAGCTATTGTCTTGCAAAATGTCGTAATTACACAACAAAATTGATAGTGGTAAAGGATCATAATTACACCTCATCTCTTGCTGCATGATAAGGGTAGAAGCAATGTAATTTCATAGCTTCGTCAGGTACAACAAAATCATAGAGAGCTCTTTATGGACATAAAGTATTATAATGATCATAATATCCATTGAACATCCAAACATAATAGATCTAGAAAGAGAAGAATCAAGTCATGTGTGGATATGAAGAGTTGTTCTATTTGTAGTTTAAACTCTGTCATGCAAACAGATATGTAGAATAACTTTTGCAAGAGGATGGGAGATTTTCCTGCGCCTTGCAAATGTTAAGGTGCTGAAAATGAACTAAAAATGAAGCATCCCTGTATCTTTCCAGGAGTTAGTTCTTACCTGGAGCTCATAAATCATTCACAATATGAGAGAAAACAAATGTCTTCTATAAATCCCCAGATATGAAAATTCCCTCTTAAAATATATGAGAATATTCTGGAGAGCCATGTTGATTCTCTCTTTTCCAGAGCAGAGCTCAGAAGTTCAGGAAGATTATTAATGTAGATATTTAATATCTATGCTCTTTTAAACTGGTAACATCAATTTACCTGGATGTAAAGTAACATTTAAAGCAATATCTATCTTCCAAATAGTACACAGTTTGAAGACAAAACAGCCATCATAAATTATTATTAAACTGGCCTCGATTCAACAACTGTGGTAAGACAGTCAAACAATCAAAACCAGATGTTCTGAGAATTCAGGTTTACACTGAAGTCTTTCGTGAGTATAAGATTTACTAACAAGCCAGACTATCTGAGACACAACAGTAATACTAGACCCTGAGAAAAAGTTGGAAGTAGGCAATTAGACCCTGATTTTCCGTTTTACCGAGGATTAAAAAGTCTTAAATTTATATGTTAAATTCTGCTGACTTGAAAGACATTTCACGTAGGTACAGTCACTGGTGGCAGGAAACACCAACGTGGTGGAGAGCTGGACTAGAGGATGGAGAGGCAGTGGATGCTGGGAGTGGACAGGGAAGTGTAGATGAAAGGAAAGTTAAACAATTGGTATCCAAAAGATAGAGGCCTTCTAAATCATAGAAAGAATGAAACTACAAGAAACAGATTTAAATTTATTTGAGAATTGAGAAGGTATTTTATATTTGCAGCTTAGAGGTCTGACACAGAGAGAAGGAGAGTTTTTATCTCCAAACATGCCATCAGCAGAATGGAATATCTGAATACCTTTCCGCCTCTTCATTGCAAAGTCTGGCCACTTAACTCACACTGCTGATCAAAGCACACATCACTGATGCTGTCTGTCTTTGCCCTAACATGAATGGCATTCGATCACTCATGGCATGAGGGGGTATGTATTGACAGAGGAGCAGCACCAAGCAGCCAGGAGTGATACTGAAAGCACCACAGCCACTTGTACAACTAATACCTGTCAGTGTCTAGTGATAAGAACTTTAACAAACAGGCAGCTGCAGCTTAAACTGACCTCAATTTGTGGAGAAAAAGGGATATCTTTTCTCTTTTTTTTGCAGTTCGTGAAAGAACGGTGAAGATTTCTAAAGGAATTGGCAATTACCCTTGGGGTTTCAGGATCCAGTTCTCAAAGCCTATCCTTGTGACTGAGGTTGACACAAGTAAGTTATGCTTGTCCTGGTTAACTTCCCCTATGAATATGAATAAAAATAAATATGTAATATTTAGTAAATATGTAATATTTAGTAATCTAATCTAACATAATATACATAATATATAACATTTGTGATACAATAATATGTAATAAATATGTACATAAATAAGATGTTTAATGACATATCCTTGATTTGCTTGTGGCAAACTCTTTAAGAACCCTAAGATGCCTATGGGTAAACCAGACTCCACTGTTCTGTGTTGTTCCATTCCTGTTGATATCTTATCTAAGTGTCTGCATCCAGCCTCTCTCCAGATGTAAAGTCTAGAACTTTTGAAGACTGACATCAGTTAATGACAACAGGCCTTTAAGAATGAAAAGGAGGATGCAGTGGTCCTCACAACAACATTTCCAAAAGTCTTATTAGCTGGATGGATTTCCATTGAGCCCTCTGTAAATCTTAACAGGTGTGCTGTTAATTTCTGCAGGGTGGTCTGATGATTGTAGGGAACTCCAGAAGAAACTCGCAAAACTGAGTGAGTGAGCAAAAAAGTGGCAGTTGAGTTTCAACAAAGATGTAGTGTAAAATAATCTCATTTAAACTGCATTTCTTTACTTTAAAGGATTGGGCTAGATGATCTTTGAGGTCCCTTCCAAACCAGTAATCTATGATTCTATGATTCTGATTCTATGATTCTATGGTAATGCCTTTAAGAGAGAAATGCTCTATACCATGCCTATATGATGGAGAACATGGTGTTGGTAGTTACGCTCAGGGTGAGATCTTGGGAGTCACAAACAAATGATTTCCGAAATCATTGGCTCTGAAATGGCATCTTAGAAATCTGGCTAAAATCAGCTTCCTCAGTAACAGCAGTGAGAATGAGACACAGGGAATCAGAGCCATTTTTCTACCCCCTAAGATTTTTTTTCTCTCAAATCTAGAATATAGCTTACTGTCCTGCTCCCTGCATATCAGAATGGACACAGTGGAATTACAGAAGGAAGAGAAAGTTGCAAGAGACCGATAGATTCCTACTGCTAATGGCAGATATAATGAAAAATGTCATCCTAGACCAAGAATGCTAGTGTATACCCTCTAGTAAGGCATTTAAGAATAGCTCTGTTACTTTACCAGCCTTACGCATTATGTTGTCCAGCTTCGTGACAACACCGGGAAAGCCTGTCAATTCAGAGGCCTGTGAATCCTTTAGTTCAACCCATCGTTTTAAAATGTACCTGCTGAGCTACTAAGCAGGGTCATCATTAAACTCTACTAAGGAATATCAGTAAAGTCAGAAACCTAAGCAAAAGAGCAACATGCAGAGGAAAAAAAATTACACTTCTGAAGAGGTCAACACTTTACAACTCTATGATTTGTATTAGAAACCCATGCATCCTCTTCAGTTCTGAACATAGTTGGACCTATACCTTGGTCATGTGTCATGCTATTGTTCAGTTCTAAGAGTCATTCTAACTTGTTGCCTCAGAACAAATGTTCTACTTATTAAAACTAAAAATAAGTCTTTCACTCCAGAAGAGGAACTCAGGCAAAGGACAGATCTATTCAAAAGAAATAAGGGGAAATGTTAGGGGTGGTTGCCTTACTTTCTGTATGGCTATGCCTATTGTTTATGGAAGAATCTCATAATCTTTCACTGCAAAGTACATGAAAATAGACAAGATTTTTTCACAGGATCCTAAAGATCATCTGGTTTTGTACATGTCTGAATACAATCATGAATTTCCATTATCAATTGAAGCTTTGCCAATAATGTAAATCTAAGAAAAACATTTGCTTACAGAATGTCGTACAAAGGACTTAGATTAAATTATGGCTAAAGTAGCTATGTAGCATTCTTCATCCTGCAACAGCTACCTAACCTCAAATTAGTCCAGAACATCTTTTTATAGTTCTTCAGACTAGATAATCTTCCCAGTATAACTTAAGTGAAACGTGATTTACTGTGAATCTGAGAATGTAATTTTGAATGAAAAATAATAATCTGCTTTTCTTATTAGAAAGATACTTCTGACTACAATGTTAAGGATTAGTGTTGTTTATTGCTGATTATTTTAAGAAAATATTACGGAGCTCAGTCATCACTTATCTAAACATCAGAACTGTGACAATGTGTGTGTGTTTGGACAGCTAGCTGTTATTATCAGATTGTGGGGAAATTCAGTAACTACTGATAAAAGATCATCTTTCCTGCAAAGAAATATTTCTTCTCTCTCTAGCCTTAAAAGTTTTAGATGATTTCCCAATCACAGACACACAGATTCCCTTACTGTTCACATATCAAAGAGTGTAACTTCAGAAGAGGTCTTTCAAATTAAAATGTGGGGAAGTTTTTTTACCTAAATATAAATAAACCATAAATACCTGCCAATTTAATCCTGCAACCTATTAACTGAAATTATGTAATTATATTTCACTCCTTTTAAGTTTATTTGTATGCTTTGTTTTCAAATACAATTTCTTTAAAAGAGCAACAACAATTAAAAAAACATTATTGTGTTTATAGACAAAAACTAGTAAAATTATGTTTTCTTAAAATATTACTAATTTCTTTAAAACAGACATAAATATTGCATTTGTATACATTTTTGTTTGCACACTGAGACGCTATGTTAACAATATTTTAAGGACCACTTGCAGTCATAAAGCCTTGTATGAGATCCTCAAGGCCAACAAACTAAAATAACCTGGCAGCTGCAAATTTGCAAATAATTTTTAATGCACGTGGGCGTGAGCCACAGCTTTTTTTATGCTCGTTTGTTATTAAGCTTTTAATAATATCTTTCCTACATTTTCTAAACATCCTCAGAGATACACTGAATGATAATATTTGCTGCATGATAGGGTACAAAATCATTAAACATCATGAGCATAGGACATTATTTTCCAAAACCATTTTTTTCATAGTAAATTAAGAATGCTTAATTATAAATGAGAAGGAAAATACTGCATCCAAGAAACCTGTGACTGGAGTTTAAGCAACTGTGTATTGGTGTCCATGAATGGAGCATATTTATCACTTCGTTAATTTGCCTCCATTCCTGGTTGGCATGTGTCTGAGCCCTGTTTTAATACAAGTGCATGTGCTTTGCAACAGTTAACAAATAAACAAGAAGATACATTAATAGATCTGATCCAGTCCCTCCTTCACTGACCTTCTTTTGATTTACTGTGTTATTTCCTCCTGAAGACAAAACCCATAAGACACTGTAGCCAAATTCTGTCAACTAGCAAGAGAATTATCAGCACAGAAAGGAGCCTTAAATCCAAAGCTCACCAGATAATAGATGTTTGCACTGAACATGACACCAGATCTTTGCCTGCACTTTAGGCCAAAATCGCTCAGACACTGAAATGCCTATTTGCATCTTAAAGCATTTAAGTTCTAATGGCATTTTAAATGAAGTTTTTTCACTGACAGTGATTATGTAGTGTTGAACCAGTACCTAAATCCTGAAGTGTAATTTAAACAGCTAGATGGTTGCTCAGAAAAACTTGCTAAACCTCCAAGTTGGACATTTTTAGGAAGGCCCCAAAGGAAAATTTTTGACTGGTTAGACAGATGCCCGTTTTGCTAGAGAATCTTGATCACATAGACACACTTGATATCTTAATTCTAAATAAAATATTTGGGTTTTTATTCATTCTAGACAGTGCAGCTGAAGAAGCAGGGCTTCAGGTGGGGGATATTCTGATAGCAGTCAATGGAACTGATGTCACCAGCATGCCACATTCAGAAGCTGCCAATCTGGCAAGGAAAGGTAAGTTTGAGATCACAGTACATCACATGGATGTTTCGGGATACTGTACAATGCTCCAAATACACCCACACAAGTTGGGTGATGGATACACAGAGATGTTGATAAACAGTTTAATGTGTTAGTATTTAATACAGTAGTATTTCCTTAGTCTCTCTTTTATCTAGACCTTGCTAGGAATGCAGAGGAAAGCAGGCATACAAAATGTTCCTCAAAGACCACATGTGATAGTAATGCTTTTGGATCTCCTGCCTTAAAGAAAGTGGCTGAGAAAGTCCTGAAAGTGTCTGCAGAGACACAAATTCCTTTATTTATGCATTATATTTCCTCAGGGACAGATTCACATCTTGATTCAGAGCACCCAGCAGTTATTTCCATTTCTCCAAGCCGTGAAGTCTAATCAGGAGAATAAAGAGATTATGTCATTAGGTATCCTCTTGCAGCACCACAGAAACAAGGAGTCAGTGATATTAATCATGTATTTTCTTCCTAGGATTGTGATGACTACAGACACACTCCTGTTACCATGTTGAAAGTTAATCTACTACCATTCCTTTATTTATCCCAGATATAGTTTTGATACGAGCTCATGGGAAATTAAATTAAAATGCTTTTACAAGACAGTGACAAATTTAACTTGACACATACAAAGTTCTTTAATTATAGAGGTGCCATTCGCACTGTTAAATTTAAGAACATGGCAAGTTATTTAGTAGATAAATCTCTCATTACTGGGTATTTTTAACTCCTCAGAGAACACCCTCTGGCCTAAATCTTGGCACACAGACAGCATTCCCACAGTCAAATGTCCCCAGAAGAGAAATCCAGAAAATGTCTTGCAAATGAAAGTGTGTCATAGTCATATTTCTCAATCTTCTTTAAGATATTGTCACCTGCTCTGAAGTACTGTCTGATACAATCAGAATTTCAGGCTTTTAGAATCAAAGCCATAAGATGTATTGGTAACATACACAAATATTATGAAATTGTACCTTATTGATAACAATAACACTCTTGCAATCTAACATCGGTCTTTGAACACTTACCTTTAGCACAGGTTAACCTCCAAAAACACACCCCCTTCGTGAGGGGCACAGATAGCAGGAAACGTTAGTAGGCTCCAGGACATGAAAAAGAAAGAATTCTCAAGAGCATGGATAAGACAATTGGAAGTAAGAGCATTCTCAGCAATTTTTTTCTAGACTCCAATGTACACCCATTTAGGTAATGAAATCCAACCACTTCTCTAAACCAATTAAATATTCAAGCACCTAAAGGTGCTGCTTGTAAAGCTAGGTCACAAAAATTGTTTAAGGGGTATCTTCAGATAGCTGACTCCATTACTAGTCTTCAAAACAAAATTAGTTTCATTCCTGGAACTCTGTTTAAAAAAGGCAAAATACAGGTCTATTTAATTCATTGTTTCCTAGGTTGCTTTGCTCTTTGCTGCTTCTAGAAGCTACACTGGGAGAAGAAGTTCATGGGATAGAATACTGCCTTTCTGCTCCATACCCTTTAGAAGTATTCAGAAATACTGGCAGACTGGATTATGGTTTTCACCTATGTTTTCACATTCTTCATGTAACATTTTAGGCCCTGATATCCTGACTATGGTGGTGGGATCAGATATCAGCCGTTACCCTAACACTCCCAGACCCACCTGCCGAGGATATTTACATAAACGAACACAGTCAGCAATACTGAAGGGCTGGAGGAAGAGGTGGTTTGTGCTGAAACATAATGGCTACCTACACTATTATAAACACAAGAAGGTAAGATTCTGGTGAGGAAGCGGTTGTTACCTACCTGAACTATGCAATGCATTGGTATTGTACTCAAATTTACAGATCATTATCCTGAATTTTTGTATTTACAGAATAACACCAACCCTAAAAATGTCTTTGTATTTGCTATATAGTGGAGGTTTGTTCAGTAGTTCCACCTTGCTATATGGCAGTCACAGGCATAGACACTGTCAGGGTTTTATGGAATTGTGTTTAATCCCATAATTCTGATCATCATGAATTGAATAGACTCCGAGGCGCTGTGGATGAGATGAGAAGTTTCAGATGCATGTACACCCTGTATTCCATCTAACATTATATGTATTTTCTTATACAGACATGACCATGATATTTCTTTGTGTGTGTGGATGAGCTATAGACCTGCACAGAGTAGTATTGGGAAGGCTCAGTTTCTTCAGAGTAGCATTGCTCAGCACTTCAGTTTCTGTCATGTGAGCAGGGACCTGTATAGCACCTAAGACATCTAAGTAGCATTTAAGAATTTAACTTCACCAAACAGTAGATATCCAAAAAGGAGTAAAATAGGTGCATCACGAAAAGGATTTTTTTTATTTGGCTTTATCCTGAAGCTCCATTTCAATATGGCATAATTTACAGCTTTCTAGATGTATAGTGAGTCTTAATGGCCTGATATCGTTGGCTTCACAGATATGTCAGCTAACAAACATTTGAGTATATTACACAGTTATTCACAACTCTCATAAATTAATAAACAATCACTGAAAAAAGAATGAGAGAAAAAATGGAAAAGAGAGAAAAAAGAAGAGCTTTTCCTTTAAGTGGTTAGCTCTGAGTTTGGGTGGTGTGGGCACGACTCACAGCCCTGGCCACAGTGGAGCTGGCAAACTCACCTACCCTACTGTAGCCTTATAGTCTGTTCAGTCAGTGCTGCATGTAATTACAAGTTGTTAATCTTTTCCCTTGTATAGCTTCATGATGAAGTTATTCACTGAGAAATTTATGTCTGTAAAATAAAACAAATCAATTTCAAAGAATGTGATCCGCTCAAGGCTCTTTGTGGTAAAACATTCTACAGGTTGTAAAAAAGATTCAAGGTCATCCACTTAGCATGCATTTTAACCTACCTTCAAGGAAACTTAGCGAAGCTGAGTAAATTTGCCTTGGTGAGGGATTTATCACCAGATGAAGACAGTGTAGCTTCCAGGGAATTCCCCAGATAACATAGGAAGGGCATCAGCAGAAATATCTGCTGCGTAGAAACAGATGGAAATGAGTTCATCTCAAACACACGATTTGAACACATAACAGTGAAATACACCCACATCCATCCTTAATCAAAAACTGCATGGTGGTAAGTCCTTGACTTGTAAATAGCTTTTATCCTTTCTAACATGGTCACACACTTTTGGTCAACTCAACATATAAAGGACATAGATATACATGCACACACATACGTGTACACACATATACATGTATACTCGCACAGCTTTGCAATGAATATGAATTTAATCTAGACAGTAAGATGATGTTAAGGAAGTTCAACTAGCAGAAGACAATAGGGAAACTAATACTACAGGCTTCACTCCTAGATCTAGCTTTATATTGTTGGAGTTTTTTTCTACTATGTCACATCTCACTATTTCATACATCAGTCTCCTATCCACGTATTTCATTTCTTTGTTTACATATATTAGCCTGTTTGGTGATCTTTATATGAACAGTAGAGCCACTCCACCAAAATCCTCAATTCATTTTTCCTTTTTTGTAAAAACTAGAAACGAAATTATTTTTGCCTGAAAGATGCTGATGCAATATTTCTCAAGGAATATACTTTGAGGACTGCATTGGTTAGTCTTTCTCTCTAATTCAAGATCTCTTATACTTCCCACAATGCATTCTGGTCCCTCCTCCTGGTGATCCTAGGCATAGTTTTTCATGGATAATGCTGTTAACACAAAGAAAGAAATTCACATGACGCACTACAGTTTCATATCCAAATTGAAACTAATCAAGCTTTCAACATTTAAGCTTCTTGATCAAAACCAAACACTTCTGTGGGAAAAAGACATTTTGTGAAAAGTAATTAAAAATTATAGAAAGAGCTTGCTCTTCTACAATTCTCTACCTACTCGACATTTCCAGCATAAAATCTAATAGGCTTATTTCTCTGCATATGCCATGATATACACACTAGCAATATAGAATTGTATATTGTATATATAATCAGGGTTATGCTGCAGAACCACAGGGTACACAACAAAACAGTCTGGCTTTCTATTGTCATTATTTCAACACTACCTATTCTGATCTCAGAACAAAAATAAACAAAAAAATCACACATTATAAGGGATACAAACATGTAGCAATACTAGTCAAGTCCTTCATCAAACTCCTGAAATGTAAATAAAAAAACTAGTTATGCCTTTTAAACAGTCTCTAACTTGTAGTCAAGTATCTCTGAAGACAAATAGTGTCAGATAAACTAGATTGAGGATTAGAAAGTGCTCCATAATCTTGCAATCATTAATACTTCATTAATTTTTTTTTTCTTTCTTTCAACTAGCAGGTTTCTTTTTAAGCCTATCTTTTCTTCCCCAGCTACTTTTCTCTTACATATTGCATTGAAAACATAAGTATTTCAATCATACCAACATTATGCTTTCATAGTAGGCTCTCTAGCCACTGAAAGCATGCATTTGCTTTTGCTTAAATTTAAAGCACTGCATAAAGTATGTAAAATAATAACTACTGCTTATTTTCTTGCATGATCCAGTACTAATGCCATTCTATCACTTTTTAGATTATTTCATACTTTCTTTTGCCATCTCCTCTCTCTCTGTGTCTGGACTCCAGAGAATACACTGAAATACTGCAGTACTGTTTCAGCAACTGAAAGCGCAACAACCTTCACTGCCTTATGTGCTTACCAAGTACTCTGAAGAGTCATTTAGTAAGACAGATAGAAAGATATTTAAATGCAAATCCACTTCTTCACTACTGAAAGATCCAATGCCCAAATGAAGTAAGAGGGAGTTTAGTTTGACTTGTTGGCAGTCCTTCTTTCTTCTGGTATGATTTCTATCAGGGCATAAGAAGAACAATGTACACAGTTGCTGTTCATTCCTCTTTCTTTTCAAAAGGAATTACAAATAGTGTTCTTAGTTTAACACAGCATTTATGTAACATCAGCTGCATGATTATGTTGGAAACATTAGGTTCCAGGCGTTGCCTCGCTCAGGAGGAAAAAGTTTTCCACTCAGAGCATATAAGATGTTCTTTGAAACAGTTCATTGAAAGCAAGACTAATTTAAGGGGAAAAAAACAATAGATAATCTGCCTGTCAATATCCAGCAAACTAACCAGACTCATCAATTTTCTGGTCCTCATTCTGATGTTAGGAAAAAAACCCCTCACATTGGCTCAGTTCCAGTGACTCCAGCCAAGCCATGCCTGAATTTCTCCTATGTAAAGACAACCAGGCCTGTTATTTGTGTCTGAAAGGCTGCATATAATGTTTCATTGTGGAGAAAAGATGGGTGTTTCATCATCTGCTTTAGTCCGTACTAACAAACACAGAGAGCTACATTTCCTCGTCATTGTTATTTACAGGTAGGAATTACCCATTCTGAGCTGTCTTTTTCCCACCTACATGAAAAGAAGAGATTGTTATTTCTTGAGCTTTTTGCATATTGACTCAGCAAGTTGTTGCTGCTGTTTCAGACTCATCTCTATCCAGTCACATATTGGTGAAATATCAGCTGTTGCAACAGATTCAGTCATTTTACATACAATGTCATTTTGTTTGACCTCAAACAGATGCTGCCACTCACCTTGACTCTACAGTCCATATAAGTAACTGAAACACATTTGTCATCTCAGTGGACATAGCTATGATTGTGACCTCATAGCAGAACTATTTGGCACATGGGGTTAGAACCTTGTTTTTCCTCATTTGCTGAGGTCAGAAGATCTATAATGATTTATAATATTTTTGCCTACATTTTATAGTGGAGTTCTACAGTTCTGATTCCCCATTGTTCAGGCCACTGGATCTTCTCAAATATGCTATTGTTTTCTTTGCCGACATGCCCAATTTTCCTCCTAATGGAAAGATATGTGGACAGTGTGAGGGCTGGACAATGATGTACACTTAGGCCTCCTACACTGAGGCAAGTATAAGCAATCAGGTTTCTTTTGCTTGAACTTACATATTTTTTCAGAAAAATATGTATGCGTATCAGCATAGTCAAGCATTGACCCTTTCTTTACAGATAGCAGTGTCTGCTCCTCTAAAACTAGCATTTGATAGTCACCATAAAATGTCTATGGTGAAGACTTCAGCACAGGACAGAGAAACCTTAATCAGCTTTACAGGAGACCAGTAAGACAGCAAAAGGAATCTAGCCACAGCAGCAGAGCACCGCCTCAACAAGCTAAATAAGACTCCTGAGCTGTCATCACTAAGTCGCTTTTAAACAGTTAACTTGGAAACTTTACAGTATGCTGCTGCTTCCAGGATTAAAAAAAAATATTGATCTTGCAAATCTATTAAAAAGAGGGAATATAATTCCTGGGACCAGGAACAAATGAGCCAATAAGGGATTTAAAGGCTGTAGAGTATGAATTCCTCTGTCCTGAGGACATACTTGCTAGAGAACTAGTGTTCTAGGCTCAGTAGGAAAGCACAAGTATAAAAGAACCACTATAGCTGAAAACACATTTCCCAAAATTTCCTCGCTACAAATATCCATCGTGTAAGGAGCTTAGCTAATTAAATCCTGGGATTTACAAATCTACTGAAAATGCAAACTACCTCCAGAATTTCCTAGTTTCAATTCATGACTGATTTCTGATATGTGGGACTGGTTAAAAGAAAAGTATAACAAGTGATTTTTGTGAGTCAAAGGATGGAACAAAAAGTTAGAGTTGATGAAATTAAAAGAAAAACCAAAACATCATATTTGTAACAATGTCCTAGCTTCTCTCTGATTTGTATCTTGCTGTGT